CTGCAGATCGACGACAATTTCTGTGGCCAGGATTTTAACCAGCCGCTGGGAGGGACTGTCACCATCGAGGGGACCCCACTCTTTGTGGACAAGGAGGATGGGATGACCTCAGTGGCCGCCTATGACTACAGAGGACAAACTGTTGTCTTTGCAGGCACACGGAGTGGGAAGATCAAAAAGGTAGGAAAGCCCTCAGTGATGATAATGGGGAGGGATGGCTGCTTGCCTTGCTGGCCCTTTGTGGGGTGCAGGTTGGGCTGGGCCTCCATAAGAGAGTGACTTGATGTGTTTAGGGTATTGTGTCAAGGGCCAGTGGAGGGGTAATTTCCCCTTGCTTCTCTCTTCCAACCATATTTACAAAATCTCTGCCTTTTGCATGGGTTATGACATAAGGAAGTTGAATCCTTGCTGATGGCTGATGAGAGCCCATCCCGTCATGTCTTGGGGGCAGGTGGGCTTGCCCTGGGATTGCCATGAGGCAGGCTCTGTCCGTCTGGCCTTGTCATTGACCTGGGCAGGCTGGCCAGAGGTGGGTGCTGATGGCTCCAGCCTGGCGAGGGGGAGACTTCACTTCCTGTACCCCAGCACGGCACAAAAGGCTGCTTGTTGGTGGCAATTAGCAAATAGCTCCATGCGTGCCTTTCTCTGCCTGCATCTCCACAGGGCACGGATTTCCTGTTATCATAACATCATGCCTGTAATTACAGCTGTACATGCCCTGTGTAAACATAGCTTCCATTAACACATCCTCAGCCAGGGAAAGGCCACATGAAGGTCCTGGTAAAGTCCCTGCTGTGGACCAGAGCTGGTTTGGCCCATCTCTCTGTGACTTGTAAGATGCTGTTTTGGGCACAGCATTCTGCATTTTTGCTGCATCTCCTGGTCTGTGCTGGCCAGGGTGCCCTGCAGGGGGCAGGAATCTGGAGCAGGGTGCCATTGTGTAGTCCCCATATGTCCTACTCGCTCTGCCCCTGTTCCTCCAGGACCCCTGACAGACTTGCCTGTGCCCTTGCCTATTAGCAGTATTTCTGGGGCATGGGCAGCACATGTTGGGGTGGGAGGCAGGGTGGAGGGGTCCTCTCTAGCCCCACATCTTCTATTTGTCTTTCTGCAGTCCTTGGAGGGGTGCACAGCGGCCGCAGGGCTGTCGGGATGGAGGCAGCTCATCCTCCCTTCTGGATCGATGAGGGATCCAGAGGGACTGGTGTCAGGTTGCTGCCTGCTTCTCCTGCCGCTGGGCTCCAGATGGGAGCTTTTAGATGGGGATGGGAAGGGAGGAGCACGTGGGAGGAGAGTTCAAAAAGGCACAACGACACTCTAGTTCCTCAGTTACCTAGAGGGGCTGATGGTTGGTTTTTAGATGGCAAAGTGGATTTTTGTTCTGCTTTTTTCAGTTTTTCCCCAGTATTCTGCACCTTCAGAACCATTTGGAAGGGGTCAGCTAGAGTGTGTGCCTGATTGGTGTGTGGGCTGCAGGACTGCAGCCAGAACTTGATGCCCAGGTGTGGCTTGAGCGTGCTCCTTCCCTGCAAGGCTTTCTCAAGCTTTTTTTTTCCTGGTTTTAAACTTGGTGCCCCAAAGAGCTGGTGGGGCTCTCTGGGTGTGCAGGGCATGAGGACATGGAACTGATGAGACTCAAGAGACGGGTCTCAATGCTGGAATGCTGTGTAGGTTTTATAGGCGTATCTTACCTGGAGCCCCCAGATCCCCTGATGTTGCAGAGCTCTCTAATGACAGCATGGGAGCACTTTGCAGGCTCCAAGTCCTGCGCCACAGGGTCCTCTCCTTGTCCCTGCAGTGACCTTGAGGTGGGCAGCCCAGCCCTCCTGCGGCAGGGGCTGCCTGGCTGCCCGGCAAAGTGCTGCCTCAGCAGCTACCTGATCCTGCTGCCTGGCTGCCAGGGCTGGAGGCAGGGGAGGGCAGGGAGGGGCTGCTGACCTGGCTTTGAGTGGAACCAATGTGTCCCCAGTCAGGAGATGTGATACCTGGCAGGGGTTCAGCAAGGGTGTAGCCAAGGTGGCTCCTCCAGGCAGAGGGGATGTGTGTGGGGGTGTGGGAGGGTGCAATCTTCAGCAGTGGTTGCAATCCCTCTGCTTTTAAGCTGTAGATGCTTCCCACCGTCCCCTTGGCAAACACCCACACTAGGCTTGGTGCAGCCTGCCGGCCCCCCTGCCCTTTCCAGAAGCCCTGGCATCTCCTCTGGGAGAGGAAGGGCTGCACTGACAGCTGGGTGCCCCCCTCCCCACCCCCAGGAGCCCTGTAATGGATGCTGCTCTGCTGAGGGGCACTGGTCTCGCCATCTGGGCTGGGGTAAGGTCAGGCCAGAGTCACTGCCGCGTCTGGCTTTTCCTTGGATGGCAGCTCCCATGCCCAGCATTTGTCCAGACTGTTGCATGCAGACAGAGCTTCCCTTTGTCCCCCCCAAAAACCGTGTGAGCCTGTGACTGTCCTGCAGCCTCTCACCAGCCCTGCCACCAGCAGTTGCTGTCGGGTGGGCAGGGTGCTGGGCAGCACCTGCTGCCATCACAGCTGCAAGGAGACCCCAACTTTGGGGGGTTGGAAGGATCTTACAGGCAATGTGAGGTTTGCAAAACTGTCTGTGGGACAGGGGCTGTGGGCTGCGATGTGGAGGCACCAGGGGGATGGAGATCACGACCCCTGGCACGCTGAGCAGGTTGCAGCAGCGGAACCCATGGCAGCCCAGTCGCAGCTTGTCCGGCAGCATTACCAGGCAGGTGGTTATCTTTGGCTGATCCCGAGTTATGTGGAGAGGCCAGGCTTGGAAAGCCTTTGGTCCCACGTGCTCGCTGTCCTCCGTGCCAGCAGTCATGGGACTGAGGCTCTCAGGGAATTCCAGCCATGCCCAGGTGAACAATGCAGGGATGGGTTCCAACACTGCTGGAGCTGGCACTGAACCACTTCCTCTGTACTCCTGAGCTGGCAAACAGGGACCTGGCCTTGCACCCTATGGTCTGAGAGTTCTGTGAATGGGAAGTGACATGGGGACGTGAGCCATGAGCATGCTGCAGCAGGAATACCAGGGGATGTTTTTGAAAGGGAAATGAGGCTTGCATCCTAACGCTTGGGTTTTTTCTGGAAACCACCTGTCCTCAATTGGCAATATTTTTATTGGGCTGTTATCATTTTTCCAGGTTGTCTTTTCTCTTTTGTGGGTAGATAGGAAGCTGTGTGTATGATTGCAATGGGAGTGCTCAGTCATGTGCTGGAAAGGCATGTTTGACACTGCACCCATGTCTGCTCTTGAGCTGTGTATGCCAAAGACTTGATTTTGGGTGTGTTTGAAGTGTTGTATGGAGAGAGGGAAGAAGGCTGATACGGAAGGGGGTGTGCTGATGGTGCAACCCCCTCTCAGTGACCGCACTGTGCTGGGCTGGCGGCTGGGAGCCGGAGCAGTGGGACATTCTGGGAGGTGCAGCACAGACACAGCTGCCCTCCTTCAGTGCCATCTGCTCCTCGTTATGCAAACACTACACTGCCTTGGGGCTCTGCTGAGCTCAGTGTAGCCCTTGTGGGTTGACCCAGTTTTGGGTGCTGTCTGGTTATTTTTGGGGGGATGAGCTGAGTTCCTCTCTCAAAGCGACCGGTGGCTCCCTGCCCGCAGCTGTCCCTGGCTTCTGTGGAAGAGGGAGGCTGTGAGCTGTCCCTCCTGCCACAGCCCTACAGGAGGTACCCAGCACTGCTGGGGATCCAGGCACTGGAGATCCATAAGGCAGGCGTGGTTACAGGGCAGAGTAATCCCAGTGCATCCCAGCCAGGATAGCATCGGACTACACATCCCTGGCAGCCAGCTGAGCTCTCATTTTTGGAGGATTTTCTGTTTCCCCAGTCACCACTGCAATCCCTGTAGCTCTCTGTTCTGTCCTGGAGCTGGCTGGCCTTGGGCATGAACGCATCTTGCCTCCGTTGGGAATCTGCTCCCCCCCAGGGCTTGTGCTTGCCACAGCTTGTTTATTCTCTCCCACAGAAAGCACAGCTGAACTGGGCCTATGTCTGGCTGCTTTGATTTCACTTCTTTGTTAATAATAATACTAATAGTACTACTAATAATAAACTCTTCATGCTAAGTGGGTTATCCCCATCCTTAACAGCAGGACATAGTGCTCCTCTCCTGGCCTGGAGAGGGTTGAGGGGCTCCCCTGAAGCTCCCTGTCCTGTGGGCCATGGGGGAGCTGATTTGATAGCCTGTGGAGGCACCTCCCCCGAGTTCTCTAAAAGCTTTGGGTTAAGGATGCCTCAGTGTGTTCGCAACCCTTGGTGTGCCTAAACAGAAAATAGGTGCTTTGGGGAGAGGAAGTTGCTGGCCAGGGCCTTTTGGGGATTTCCCTGTTGCCTGCTGGCTCCCTTTTATCGCAGAAGCCCCCATGTGTTGGGTGTGATGCATTACCTAATCATGGTCCACGTGAGCTGGGAGAAGCCATCAGGCTCCCTGCCCACCCGGCTGGTCCCTGTCCCCATGGATCCTTTCTCATCACCCTCTGCCTGGTGCTCAGGGTAAGCAGCTCTGGCTGAAAAGGGGCCCTTTGTGCCTCGGCGCGTGAAATCTGGCTCCCGGAGTGTGCGGGAAGGCTTGGCCCGCCTCGGGACCCTGCTGCTGGCTACCGTACTTACTGCCTGTGCCTCGGCTGGCTTTTCTTTTGGGGGGTGTGTGTGGGGACACAGGACAGATCTGGGGCATGAACCCTGCCCTGGCCCTGGCGGTGTCAGCTGGTGACCCTTGAGGACTCCCCAGGCACCGACCCCTGCACAGCCCCTGGAAATGCTCTCCTGCCCGTGCTGCTGCCTCTTCCCAGCTGGCTGCCCGGCACAAGGGCCTTTTGTTCCTCCTGTTCCCTGTGCCCTGTCCTGCTCCGTCCCCATCCCATCCTCTGCAGACCCCTGTCCCCCTCCCCTGAGGCCTACGCTGACAGCCCCCTGGGCGCCTGGCTCAGCCCCGTGAGGGAGATGTGCTCCTCGGAGCATGCGCCCGCGCCTCTCCCCAGTCAATGACAATCATTTTATTGGCATGACAAGGTAGCCGACGGTTGCCAAAGTGAATCCATCAAATACCTCTTGGCGGCTCCCCGCCCCCTCGAGAGCTCTTGCTGGAGTCGTTAAGCTGTTTTAATCAAGGTGGAGGCTGGAGAGCGGGCGTGTTAAGTGGATGGGGTGGGGAGGGGGCAGCGGAGCCTTCCTGTGCCCCTGCTCGTGGCAGGGAGCACTCGGCATCGCCCCATTGCTGCTCAGCAGGAAGGGGCCCTGCTCGCCGGCGCTGGGCTTTGTTGCGCCGCCCGGCTCTGAACAGGATGTCTCATTGTTGGAGGAAACAATTAGAAATTCATCGTGAACCGCTGGCCTCTGGGATCTGCCGGGGCGGCGAGGCCGTGGCTCCAGGCAGCTGCCAGCTTCGTCCTGGGGTGACTCCTGGAGGGGAATGACACTGGGGTTCCTGCTCCTGCCTCTTGCAGGATGGAGGAACATGAATATTTCCAGGCTCCTGACACTCCAAGGGCTGCTCCAGCATGCTCATACAGCCTTGGGGAAGAAGAGGAAGTGTCAGGGGACTCACTGCCCTCAAAGCCTGCTCCCTCCACCCTCCGTGCCCCCAGGCTTTTTGACTCACAAGCCACAACTCTCTTTCTTCTTTCCCCTCATCTGCTCCGCTCTCTCCACGCAAAGCTGGCAGGTGAGCGAGGCCTGGGAGCCTGGCGCCCGGCCAGCCGGGAGGCAGCAGCAGCCAGCCCTGCTCCAACCTTCGCTGCTGAAAGCGCTGACGGTGCAGGGCTCTGCTCTCCCTGGCGCCGGGCAACCGCAGGCAGCCGTGGGCCTCCCCCCTTCCATCATCCGCGCCCCACGGCAGCGCGGCCGCCGGGCTCCACCGCTCTCAGGCAAGGTGACTTTTGGGCAACAGCACGTTGTGAAAGCCGGAGGAGGCTTGGGGATGGAGGTGGATCCCAAAGATCCCGTGTCTTCAAAAGTACCGGTGCAAACCTGGCTTGTGTAGTCATTCTGCGAGGGGGTTTGAGGGCAAAACGCCGCTTGGCAGCCCCTCAGGACAGGTCGGTGCTGCCCTGCAGGGTTTGCTCAGGAGCTGGAGGATCTGTGCCAGCCGAACACAGCATCACCTTCACAGCTGACCATCCCATGCCCTGGCAGGGGCTGCCACCCTGGAAGTATTGTGGAAATGAGGCTGGGAAAGGAAAAAGCAAGAGCCTGCGAGGGTTTGTGACTGTGCCTTGCTGTTCCTGCCCTGGTTGTTGCAGGGCTGTGTAAAGCATTGGTGGCCCTGGCTTTGCGGTTCTGGGAGAACAAGGCAGATGAGCGATCTTTGGGGTCGTTGATGGGGGTGCTGAGCCCCCATAAATGTTTGGATCACACTCACTGGGGGCTGTTGTTAGGAAAAAGGGTGCGTGGGCTGGCTGGGGGTGTGCAGGGCCAGCAGTGAGCAGTAGTTTTTCCCTCCTGGTGGGCTTGGTTTAGTTGCTGAAGCATGAAGCTGCTGAGCATTTTCTTCTGCATCTCTCTGCTGCTGAACGCAGGGCTGTGGCCCCTGTCTGTGACCTCTGTTCTGCTGGGAAGAACGGGGAGCACGACTCTTGCTTTGGACTATGCCTCCTGCTGGGGACCTCTGTGGTGGCCCCTAGGGGACAGGGCAGGGGGAAAAGCCGGGCCATTAAAATGGAAATGAGCTGGGAGGGCCCAGCTCTGTTGGATCTCTCCTGTTGGAGCCATTGTGCCTATTCACTGGCTGACTTTCACAAACACTGACTAATTTTGGCTTTTCAGGTGGGAGAATGGCCCCTACCTCCCACCAAAGGCAGCTAGGGAGGATGTCTTGGCTCATCAAGAAGGCTACGGTTTGGGAGGCAGGGACTGTCGGTATGCCTGGTGTGAAAGGGCAGTGCTGGTGTCCTGCTTGGCCTTTGTACAGGCCCATTAACCCAGATTTAATGGTGCCTGAGGAATTTGCCCTCAGCCCCTGGCCTGCTGGAGGAGGGAGGGTGTGTGCTTAGCAGGAACTCAGGCAGCTCCAGTGTTGTCTGGGTCTCTTCGTGCTCCAGCCCCACCTCAGGTAGAGACATGACTATGGGGAAGGTCAGACATCCCCATGAGTTGACCTCCCTGCTTTTCCCTTCTGGGTTGGGAGGAAAATCCATCAAAGATCAAGTGCAAGGTGGAGGTATGGCACTTGGGGATGCAGGATGTGGACTCCAGCTGCCCCTTAGTGGCTGCTGGATCCTGTAATCCATCTCTGAGACTTTGATACATGGGTGGTCATTTGTCTCCAAGTCCAGGTGGGGATGGTGTCAGTCCCAGGCTGCTTGGAAGAGTTGCTGTTCGGCCTCTTGTTGTCTCCTGCCCTTGTTAATTACAGGCTTTTCTGAAGTGGAACAGGAGAAAGGATGCCAGTGGCAGGCTGGTGGGGAAGGCAGCAGAAAGGTGTTGCATGGGTCAGCAGTGTGAGGTGAAATAGGAATAAAGGAGCTGGGGTGGGTGCTGGGTGATGGTGAGAATGCAGACCCCTGGGACAATGTCTCGGTTTCTCTCTGGTGCTTTCCCTGGATGACCTGTGCTACCAGAGCTGATCCTGGCACCTCCCTGCTCTTTGTGAACCTGTGGACCAGCTGCCAGCACGAAACCTCCCCGTGGCAGTGAGAGCAATTGTCTACATGGGAAGCAAGTGGGAAAGTTTTATTTAATGGATGCTTAGTTCTTTTAATGCCATTTAGCAGCTGGAGAGAAGGAAGAGAGCCAGTGCTGTGTGACAAGCCGGCTCTCTGCAGACGGAGAATGGGCTGAAGTAGTGGGGAGCATCCCTACAGTCTGGCAGAGAAAGGCAGGATAATGTGATAGTGCTTTAATTTGTCCACGCTTTGTGCTCTTGAGGGCAGCATCGTTTGGTAGCTTTGTGCTGGGACAGATCTGGCATGACCGGGGTGCTCAGCCCTGGAAAGCAAGGAGAGGGATGCAAGGGGGGCTTCTACTGCTAGAGCAGGTGCTGGGGGAAGCAGCTCCCTCCCACCATAATCTGTATGGGCAAAAGAAACAACACCGGGCTGAAAAAAGCCAGTGTGGTTTTTATTAGCTACAACCCTAATGATGTATTTTGGATTGCTCTCCTGCGTGGATAAAAATTACCAGTCCTTGAATGAAGGGGAAATAAAAAAGTCTCTCTGACCTTGAAGCTGTTCGTTCACTTGTCTTCATTTCATTCCCCTTGGCTGGGGATGCAGGTCAGTTTTGGGTCCTATTTATAGTCCGCTTCGTTTGATGGTTTTCTTTACAAAGTGAAAGGTTGTCACCTTTGTTTCTCTGATACTGCAGAGAGGAGCTGCTCTAGGGAAAAGGAAGAATAAATGAGAAATTTCTCAGAGTGTTCCTGTATGCGGCAAAGCTTTGTAATCTGGAAAGATCAAAGAAGCCCTGGACTGCCAACTTGAGCTCCTTGTGTGGAGGCAGCCAGGGTCCATGGTGCCTTGAGAGATACAGGGTGATGCTTTTCTGTGCTGGCCAGTGGCTGCTGGGGCTGATCAGAGCCTTTATTTGCACCAAAACAGAGATAGTTTCCCTTTCCAGGCAGCTTGGCTCATGTCTCCACATCTGGCACGGTTGGCTGTTGTTGAAATAACATGTGAGCTTGATTCTTCCCTTCTCCCACTCCCATGAAGGAAGCTGTGGCTGTGTTGTCCATCTTCACTGAAGCCACATGTCCACAGGAGCCTGACTGCTGGAGTTTAATCCCCTGCCTGTGGCTGCATCTCCTCCTCCAGCCCGGTCCCTGACAGACAGACTCGTTGAAACAACAAATGTTGCCATAATTTAATTTTCAGGCAAACAGTAGTCCGGGGACAATGTTAAATTCATGAAACTGGCTTAATGCGATGACATTTAATGAAGCAATTTGTGCGCTAGCGTGGCTGTGCGTGGCTCTGGAGTAGTGGGGATGCCGCTCCACCCTGCTCTCTCTTTGGAAACAGACTGGGAAAGGTCGGTGCTCCAGGGTAAAAGAGGAGGGCTGTCCCACTGCCCTCCAGGCTGTGTGTGCTCTTGTGGTGCAGCTTTCCCAGGCTGCTCCCTGATGCCTTTGCAGTGTGGGCTGGGAGCTGGTGGGTCCAAGTTCTGTGGTTTGGCCTGAAGGGACAGGTTGATCAGAATGTTTTGGAGCAGTAGGGGACCTGTCCTCTGCAGCCTTTGCTTTGCTTGGACTTTTCCTCCCTGTGTCTGGAGTCCTGGAAAGGTTCTTTGCCCCCTGGCCTTCTTAGTGGGCCAGATTGAAGCCTCAAGCCCTGTAGCACCCCATCTCCCATGCATGTGGTGCTGGCTCTTCCCTCCAGAGCCACCCTGGGATGCAGCATCCCATGGGTTAAGAGGCTGTTCCCTCTGGAGCAAGGATTAGGAATTATGCTGCACTGTGAGAGCACAGGCTTGGCTTTGGGGGGGGTTTACTGTTCATAAAGCAGGTGAGAAGAGGCAGTTTGGAGGGTGGAGAGACTGGCTGCTTGCTCCAGGGGTGGATTGGATTTGTGTCATCCCACCAGCATCTCTTGGGCATCCTGGCACCAGCAATGCATGGGCTTCTGCTGTGTCCCAGGAGAGGGTTTCCTGCCATTTCTTTCTCCCCTTGATGATTGACAGAGCCCTGTAGATCTTAATTATGTGCCGGCATCCACAAAGCAAACCTGGCGCTGCTGTAGCTGGAGGCTTAATGCTGGTAATGCTGCTCCGTGGGCAGGCAGTTCCCGAGGTGAGGGGTTTCCCTGCCTTTCTAGGGACAACTTGTAGTCGTTGATGGATATGATGGACCTCTGGAGCTGTGGCAGTGGGAGCTGGACTAGGGACAGGTGAAGGGATGGTGTTAAATGTACATGAGATTTTGGCGTGGCTCTTCTTTGGTGGAGCTCAGGGAGGAGGGAGCTGGAGACACAGGGATGTCACTTCCTTGGAGAACCCCATGTCATGCATCTCACCTTGAAGGACACAGTATCCATATGTATCCAGCAGGGCTTTTCTCACCTTCAGTCCTCCCTTGTCCCTTCTGTATATTCCCAACCCTCCCAGCAGCAACCCCAATCAAAACCTGAGCTCCACTAAACTCATGTCACTGCTGATGCTCCTCCCAAGCAGGACTTTAAGCTAAATTTTTACTGAAAGACAGTCAAATCCTTCTGAGGATGGATGTTTGGCTCAGCAGAGGTGCTTGTGGGAAAGCTTGAGGTCTGTAGAGCAGTTTGCAGTCCTGCTGATCTTGAAGGCTGGGTCAGTGCCTGGCTGTTCTCTTGAATTTTTGCTTTTCGTCAAAAATTAATTGGTAGTTGTTGAGCAGAATGCAACTGAAAAAATTAATGGAGGAAAATATGATGCAGTTTGATGTGTGCACGCATGTGTGTCTCTCTCTTTCTGCATATGTATTTATTTTTCTTTGAAAGTTTCCAGAAATAGGTCTGTGTCTTGGCCAGGGTGACTGCATCTGTAATTAGCTAAGGAAAGTGGGTGTCTTGGTGACAGCCACACAGAAATGCTCAGCATCCCTGGTGAGGATGGTGGGATGTGGGACCTTGGAGGCATCTAGTCCTGACAGCTTCCTTAGTAGAGGGAGGGGAGCAGCCTCTGCCCCCCTGGATGCAAACACTGGATTGGGTTGGGCTTACTGCCACCACCCCTGGTTTCCTGGGGGAGGGTGATGCCTGTGATGGTTTATTTGAGAGCTAAGCAAAGTCCTTTAAAAAGACCCAAACCCCTGAAAACTGCACCATGTATGCATGGCTTGTGTCAGCTGATCCCCACCCTGTGTGAGGGATGGGAACTTCCCAAACTGAATTCTCCCTTTCTTTCTCCAGGATTACTCCATGTTGCTCTCCCTCTCTTTCTGGTATGTTTATGAGCCTCAAGGGATCTTGTTTTTACGCTCAACGTTTAAAATTAAAGATGTGTTTCTAGTAGGTGAGATAAACACTC